TTTTTCTCATAAAACGGTGGTGAATCTTACCAGTTTTTTTTTTTTTTTTGCTTTTATCAATATTATCATATGGTTTTTATCTTTTGTTGATAAAGTGTATTACATATATTAAACTGTCCTTACATCTTGGGATAAATCCCACTAGATCATAAAATATATAAATTTTGTGATATATTGTTGAATTTGATTTGAAGATTTTTGTATGAACATTCATTAAGGATGTTGGTCTGGAATTTTCTTGTGCTGTCTATTAGTTTAAGTGTGAAGATAATGTTACTGTAAGATGTACTAGTGTTTACTCTTACTGGATTTTTAGAAATAATTTAAGCAAGATGGGCATAAAGTCTTTTTCAAAGGTTTGATAGAAATTGTTAAGCTGTCTGGTCCTGGGCTTTTCCTTGAGGGGAGATTTATTGTTTCAATTTCCATACTTGTGGCTGGTTTATTCCACTATTGTTTGTTCCTGGTTTAGTGTTGGTAAATTATCATGATCTAGAAATGTATCCATTTCTTCAGTGTTTAATTTATTGGTGTGTAAATGTTCATAATAGTTTCCTGGCACTTTGTATTTATATGCCATTTGTGATAATTCTCCATTCATTTCCACTTCTTATTGTTATCACTCCTCTTTTATTTTGTTATTCCAAGTAGAGGTTTATCAACTTAATCTTCTTACAGAGCGAAATCTTGGTTTCATTGATCTTTCGTACAGTGTTTCTGATGTCTTATTTCCGCTCTTGTTTTTATTTCCTTCCTTTTTACTAATTTTTAGTCTTGTCCTTTTTCAAGTTGCTTTAGGTGTAGTATTAAAATATTTGAGATTTTTCTTGCTTAATGTGGGCCGGTATTTTAATTCTCGTCCCACTTAAGATTGCTTTTGATGCCTATAGATTCTGATGGCTAGTATTCTTGTTTTCTTTAGAGTATTTTTTATTTAATTTCTTTATTCCAGATGGTATTAAGCATCATATTGTTTATTCTTCATGTATTTATGGCTTTTCCTGTTTTGGTTTTTTTTTTTTCCTTAATAGTTGGTTTCTACCTTTACAGATTTAGGGTCAAAAAATTACTTGGTATGAGTATGATTTCAATCTTTGTAGTTTTATTCATAGTTGTCATGTCCCAACGTAACAGTCTGTTCTTGAAATTGTGCTTTTGAAAGAAAAATGTGTTCGTGGGGCTTTTTACGGGATGTTCTATAGACATATTAAATCCATTTGGTTTATCTCCTCATTTAAGGCTAGTGTTTCCTTGTTTATTCTGTCTTACTGATATTCCATAGCTGGAGTACTAATATCCCTTAGCATTACTGTGACAGTACCTTTATTTCTTATAATAATTGTTTTGTCCATTTTTAAAAGTAGGTGTTTGTTACTAATGTGTAGTTTTTCATTTTCTAGATACTAAATCCTTATATAGATCTCATTTGCAAATGTTTTCTCTCATTATGTGTCTTCACACAGTTGATTTGATGCACACAATTTTTTCTTATATGTAGTCCTATTGTTTCCTGTGCTTTTGATGTAATGGTCTTAGCATCCTTGTCAAAACTTTTTACCTTAAAGGGCAAGGATGTGGGGCCTCCCCGGTGGCGCAGCGGTTGAGTGCTGGGTTGCGAAGCTGCCCGCGGCCTCTGCGGCGCCGGTTCGATCCCCGGCTGCTCCCCGGCCACCGGAGGAGGGTCCCACATGGCGCGCAGACCTCTCCTGCCGCCCGCTGCTCCCCTCAGCAGTGTACTTCGGTCCTTCTGCCTGCTCTGCTCCCCGCTCTGGCTCTGGTGAATTCTCTCACCCTCCCGCGCTTCTGACTGTACCCAGTGCATGTATAAACAAAAAAAAAAACAAAACAAAACCAGCAAACAAATAAATAAAGCATGCCTCTATAAAAAAATTAAAAAAAAAAAAAAAAAAAAAAAAAAGGGCAAGGATGTGGAGATAGAGGAACACCCCCCTACACATTGTTAATGGGAATGTAAATTGGTGTAACAATTGTGAAAAGTGGTGTGGAGCTTTTTAAAACACTAAAAATAGAAATACTGTTTGATTCAGCAAGGCCCCTTTCCGGGTATCTATCTGAAAAATATGAAACCATCAGCTCAAGAATCATATGTTCCATAATGTTTACTGTGGCACTGTTTACATAGCTATGTTATTGAAGCAATCTAAATGCCCACAGATGTGACTGGCTAAAGATGTGGTACATATATATATAGTGGAGTACTATTCAGCTATAAGTATACATGAACATTTGCCATTTGCAGCAAAATGTAAGAAATTTGAGGGACTATGCAATCACCAGAATGATAAATATTGGATGTTTTCACCTATATGGGTGATATCAGGAAACAAAGTAGATGAGCTGACAAAGGAAAACACAAACTAGTGTACGTTAACAACTGAGGTTACCAGAGGTGCAGAGGTGTGGGATGGTAGAAAGAGTGAAGGGTAGTATATGGGCTGTTGGTGTGCATATTTTGTTCATGCTCTTTGTTTTCTTCAAAGAAAAAATTTTGACTTTAAATGTTTGGATTTATTTCTGGGCTCCATTTGTCTACATATTTCATTATGCTAGCACCACACTGTCTTAATTACTCTAGCTTTGAAATAAGTTTTGAAATCAGAAACTGTGATTTCCAACTTTTACTTTTTTTTGCAAGAATGCTTAGCTATTTTGGTTCCTTAAGATTCCATATAATATGACTCAAATTCTGTAACCGCCCCCATTGGAGTTTTGATAGATTGTCCTGAATTGGTAGTTAACTTTGGGTAGTGTTTACATTTAATGATATTAAGTGTTTCAGTCCACAATTTCATTTGTGTCTGAGCAGTGTTTTGAAGTTTTCATTACATAACTCTTTAACCTACTTGATTATGTTTATTCCTATTGTTTTACTCTTTTTGATAGTATTCTACATGGAATTGTTTTCTGAATTTCCTAAATGTGGATTACTGTCAGTACATAGAAACAATTGGCAGAGTTCACCTGTAAAGCCACCTGCTCCTGCCTTTTCTTTGTTGGGAGATTTCGTATTCCTATAAATGGCTGCTTTCATTTAAAAGTTTATTTCTATAACATTAGTTGTAGCATCCCTGATTTTACTTGACATTATTTGAATCTTCTCTATTTTTGTTAGTTTAGGTAAATGGTTGTTAGGGTGTTAAATTCCCAGATTATTTGGATTTTCCAGTTTCCTCCTATTACTGATTTCTAATTTCATTGTACTACGAATAGTAAAGATACTTTATATAATCTGTCTTTTTAAATTTAAAAACTTTTTGTTTTGTGAACCAACACAGGATCCATTCTGGAGAATGTGACTTGTACATTTGAGAAAAAAATGAATTCTGGTATTGTCGGGTGGAATGTTCTATCTTTTATAAATGCAGTTGATTATAGGGTTTCAAGTTCTGATATTCTGTCTTGTTTTAACCATTATTGAAATTAGCTATTGAAGTCTACTCTTACTGTTTAGCCATCTATTTCTCCCCCCAATTTTGTTAATGTTTCCTTCATATACAGTCATGGTGGTCTGTATATGAAGACACATATAAGACACTAATAATGGAGACACATCCTAAAAATGTCTTGATTTCATCTTCGTGCAAATAGCATGGAATGCAGTTACACAAACTTAAGTGTTATAACCTAAACACTTAGGCTATATGCTACAGCCCATTGGGCCCACTATTGTACATGTGGTTTACTATTGACTTAAATACTGTTAAGCAACATCTGACTGTATTTGGAAGCCCTGATGTTTGGTGCATATTCACCAGTGAGGAATAACTTTTTTATTACAGAATGCCCTTGTTTGTGTCCTGTAACTTTTTTTGCTTAGTCTATTTTGTCTGATATTACCATCCCTATTGTCTTTTGGCTACTATAGCATGGAATATCTATTTCCATCCTTCCAGTCTACATATGTCTTTAGATATATTTTGATGACTTTATTTACTTTCAAAGTTATTCCTGATAAGGAAATCCTGCTGCCACTTCGTGGGTTTTTTTTATGTCCTAAAGCTTTTCTCTCATTTAGTTTCCTAATACTCTCAGCCCCTCTTCCTGTCAGAGCCTCAGATGCTATATTTTATTCCTCTGCCCTCTAAGCTCCCATATGTCCACCACTACTTTCAGCAGCCTTTATCCTGATAGCCAAACTGCCACCATTCCATTAATGCTCTGAGTCAGACAATACAGAAGCCAGTCTCCAGACATCCAGAGGTCACAAGCAAGTTTCACTCTTTCTTTCCATCTCAAGGGAATTGAAAGGCTTCATTCCACTGTGCCCAGGAGGGCGAAGTGAAAGGGTGATCATAAATGCCACCCTTTATTTTGGTCACGTGTTTGCCTGGTTGATGCTGCTGTTTACTTTGAGTGTTCTCATAAAGCTACATTGGTCTGTATATTTCTTGTTTCCATGGGTGTTCCGTAGGGGAACAATGGTATAAAGCATCTTAATCTTGTGAATGTCATGCTCAGTTATCCTTTGAACATATCTTCTTTATAGGTTAAGATTTCCATTTGGACTTCCTTTAACATTTATCAATCTTTGTGTGCTTAATAACTTACTAACCTGTCTTAAGGATCACCTTTTTTTTCCTGCACTGTCTTCCTTGTCATGAGCAGTAGCTGAATTCTCTCTGTAGTCCGCAACTATTTCTATTCATGGATTCCTAGGAGTCTTAACATTTGCAGGCTGAGTTATTTATGTGTCTGCCAAGGATATGAAGGAAAATGCATTCAGATTTTGAGGCACCATTCTTTCCAGGATTCTCACCTGGAAATATTTACCACCCTGGCAGCCTAACTTGTCTCATTTACTCAGCAAGTTGATCCAATTTATGCTACTTTATAACTGAGTTTTTTAAAAACATTTTTTTAAAATGTGAGCTGATCATTAAGAGTTATCAAAGTTTTAGTGACATTTCTGTGACTCGTTTTATAACTTTCTCTATTAAAAGATTGCAGCATTCAAGAAGTTTTTTTTTTCCTTTGCACAGGATATTGCAAATGAAGAACATAAAAAAATTGAAGCATTAAAGTCAGAAAACAAGAAGCTAGAAAAACAAAAAGGAGAATTAATGATAGGATTCAAGAAACAATTAAAATTAATCGATGTTTTAAAAAGGCAGAAGGTGAGTCTAAATAAAACTGGTAAGGAAAGTATATGCAAGAATTTATTTTAGAGGATTGGTTTGCCTCTTGAAACCTTGAGAGAAAACAGATTCCAAAACATTGCAATTCCCTTTTTGACACACATCATCTGATGGTAAGAACATGCATTGGTGGCTCTGCCACTTTCCTGTTTTCAAGGTTATTACAGTATCATTGAATTGTTCTCTCAAAAGTAGGTTGGTTCAATACTATCACTGGACAAATAGTCTTCGATAGGTTGACCTATGAGTACATTTAACATTTCAAATATGGTTATTGGACTATACATTCTTACAACAGTGCTTACAATTGAATACATCTTTACAAGTTTCCTATGTTTTCACTCAATACTAAATTATAAAATACTGTTTTTTTAAAAAACAGATGCATATTGAAGCTGCCAAGATGCTGTCTTTCACTGAAGAGGAATTTATGAAGGCACTTGAATGGGGAAATTCCTAGGTGATCTACTTTAGTCTTTGTAACTTTGATAATATCCAAAAAGTTCCTTGTTAGAACTTCTTTTGACTTCTGTCCTTATGCTCTACTAGCCCCCTTTTAACTGCACTTGAATAGTAAATATTTTATGTTATGCACTATAGGTAATAAAGGTCTTTGAATTTACTCTTTTTTATACTACACAGAAAGATATTTTAAACCCAAATTCTAAATATTTATTTCCTTGGCCAAATCAGTGAAGAAAACACATAGAACTAACTGTAGCCCAAGGTGAACTGCTCTGTTAATCAGGATAAATGCTGTCTTGAGGAAAGGGGATGAAGAAAGAAACTTCTGGACAGCAGGTGAGTGTGAAGTTAGTCTCTTGGGTTTTAGCCTGAATTTTATATACATGAAATACTGTAATCTGGTAGGTGTGAAAATTCAGCTTTTCAGATTACCAGTACAAAAACAATATAATCAAAAGCAGTTTTGTTGCTAATTTATCAGAAAACACTTTTTATATTTCCAATAGAGATGTTTTAGAAAATCCTAATATGATGATGGAGTCTTAATATTACTGAACAGTAAAACAAAAGTTACACTGACATCTACTGGTAACATGAAAAAGAATCCAAGTTTTACCAAACGTTGGTATCACTTCTCTTCACAATTTTCGCGCCTTTTCTGATAGGCTTTCTGAAATTCTTCACCGAGCATATCAATATCATCCTGTTTTTTGAATACTCCCTACAAGCAAAATGTTTTTTGCATTAATTTGAAAGCCAGACTATTTAATTAAATGCTTGCAAACTAACAAATATAGATAGCAATTTATAAAACTATCTCCAAGTTAATGGAACTCAATAACAATTTCCTGATTTATGAGCTCCAGTATAGGAACCTGTAATAGGAATCTGGGCTCTTTGTACTACTGTAAGCATTACTGCTTGGATTGGCAGAATGGGAAGAAATGTAATGTATACTGTGTGCTGTCTTGAAATAGTCCTGCAATATCTGAGGAAGGTGCGAGTCAAAAAGACTGAGCTTTGCTAGACTGATACATGGGACTGGCTCTTGCCTCATAGTTCTAGGGTTATTTAGCAAACATTCAATCTTGTTAGAATGAATCTAGCTTTAAAGAGTTTAGCCACTTAACATTTAGCTCTTTTACTTTTCCTTTCTAGTATAGGTAAAAGACTCCCTACAGCAAAATTAAATATTTACTTCTCTTGTAATCTAAAAGGATATAAAGTATCCAAAAGGACACTTTAGGTCATTTAAAGATAGCAGGCTTATTAGGTCCCGCCCCTGCTTCCATAATTATTTCCTTACAAAAAAATATATTCTGGGAGATTCTTGGGGTTCAGATATCATTTTTGTCATCAACATATTCCATATTCTGTCTACCAAGTAGATTATAAGATCCTGTGGTCAGGTAATTACTCAGAATTGCTTCTCCTTACCACTGGATTGAACACAAAATTACACTCAATTTTTCTGATTGAATTACCAAATGGCACAATTTTTACATTAGGATGGAAATCTTATTTACTTAAGTCCAGATGCTAAAAGGGCCTATGAAACTCATTATTTCATATGTGAAAGCTTGCTATTTCTTAAAGTACTTTCTAAACCAAAGTTACTTCTACCTAGTTAGTTATAACAATCTTTTCTCCTATTGGACAGCAGATCTGTCTCAGATTTAGTTCAAGTATGGGACTGTTGTTGGTATTACCAATTACAGAATTTTCTTGTGTACAAAGTATCACAATTGCTTCAGTTAGTTCTAGAGCACCTAGACTGAAAGGGGAAAAGAATCTCTGAAAGTTAAAATCAGTAAATATATATAAACTAAGGATTTGCCAAGTCAAACTCCTATCTAATATAATAAACAGGACAAAATTCCACTTGTTGCCTAACAAAAGCCAGAATCTTTGAATTCCTAATACCATTTTTTTCCCACACTAGAGGTCATAAAGGTTATACCTTGAATTAAATATCACTTACTTTGGGGAGATATCCTAGTAATTTTGTAGCATGTTCTTTGAGAAGCTTTACTCTTTCTTCTTCAATAATTGCATTAATACATCCTTGTCTTCTTTGCTGCAACTGCCATTCTTCTATTTCATGTTGCTTTAAATATAAATAAAAGATGAATTTTGTGACTGTTTTAAGTAGTTTTCAAATAAAATTATACTTGCAATGAATTAGATAATTGATGAACTATTTATGGACACTAACGTCAAAAGATGGTAATGTATATATGTTGTGTATATTATTCACATATCTATCTTTCACAGTCTCTTCCTTTAAAGTTACAAGGACAAGAGTTATGACTGGGATTCTAGGTAGGTCAGTACATGCTTTCAGGAAAACACCTTCATTACTAAGGGAAGAAATAATCAAAGAAGTGATTTCCTGCTTAAGTCAACAAATTGAGTGCTTACCATAAACCAGGCACTGAAGATAATTTTAAGTGTAAGATCAAAAGAAAGTAAAATTGGATATATGTAAAAGATAAAAATTTCATTTTTTTTCAAGCACAGGCTTCATACAGAAAGGACTTGTAAATATGCTTTTATAATCACCAAAATTATGTGCCATCAAATATGGAAGAATTCTGTAGCTTTGAAAAGTTCTCAGGCTTAAATGAACTTTTATGGAATTGTATCCAAATCATTCTATTGGATAGGGAAGAATGCTAAAGGCAGAAATTGGTTAAATTCTTGTAAAGGATTACTTTTAAGTAATATTGATGCTAAACTTTGAAATAACCAAGTCATTATTTCTTCAGACAATTCTTATTAAAGTCATTTAGATCAGAAAGGGTATTTGTCTTTACTACAATGGGAGTCAAGCTCTTCTGTATTACCTCATAGCTCTTCAAAGTTACAGAAGATGGGAGATTTCAGCCATATCCATTGCCACTTAAACATGGAATGACTTCTCATGAGAATATCTTGTTTAATATCATTAGATGTATTTGTTTTAACAAAATCAACAGTAGCATTGAGAGCTAACTGCAGAAAGATTTACAGTGTCATTCATCTTGCTATTGAATCAAAGGGTTGAGTTGATCTCATTTTCTCTAAAATAAGGTAATAGACTCTAACATGGAATCATTGTACTTGAAATTTTTTTTGTAATACTTCCTTAGTCCCGTTGTGATCACACATGACTAAGTTTTTATTAGGGGAAAATAAGCAAGTGTCATGTTGAGAGGAAAGCTCACCTGTTAGATTTATCTGATTATGTATGTGCGGTCTAATTTAGGTAGTATATAGGCTTTTCCTTAGGAACCTATAGACCACATTATCTTTTTAAAATAATGAAAGTTAGGGTAAATAGTTGAGAGAAACTGTTTTTCATACCTTTTTTGAATTGTTAGAGATATTCCATTTCATAAAACTATCTCTGAAATCTAAACAGACTTAAAAACTATAGAATTGTAAATGGAATGCATTAATGCCTTTCATGATCATGAAAACCCAGCCTTAACCCTTGGCTCAAAATTACAATGTGACCCAATCTTGCTGACACTTAAAGCTTCATATTGGAAACAGTAACAATTTAAAATTATGCAAATTAAAAGTCCTATATTTTAAAGTTTTATTTATAGTTGTCTTGCTAACTTTTCAGACTGATTATTATGGTCTATAGTTAAAGTCAGCCACACATGCATATTCAAAGCCTTCTAGATCAAATTGGAAAGCCTTTTAACATCCTTGATTACTGTGTTCTGACACTGTTAATCACCTTATTGATTACATTTATTAAAGTACATAACCAATTAGCCAGGCAAAATGCTAGGTGCTTTATATGTAATTCTACATATAATTGGCTTATATCAATGCTAAGGGGTTAGAATTCTGTGCTGTAGTAATCTACTTGGTTTAAGGAGAACATGAGTTGGTTTTTCTTTTTAAGCATAGTAACTGGTGTCAGATGAACTCGAGTCACAAGGAGACCAGCTAGAAGACCATTTCAGTAGTCCACAGTAATGGTACTGAATGTCTGAACTAAGCTATGAAAAAAAAGATTTAAGCATTATTGCTGATGTGGAATCAATAGGACTAAAAATTATTAGATAGGAAAGGGAAAAAATACAGGAATGATTTTTACAAGGTAAAGGTAATAGGCTTAGGTGACTGAGTGAATATGCTATCTTTAACCAAGATTCAGGCTACAGAAATTGAAAAACTTCTGTTCACTTTTACAAAACTTGTGAGAATTTAGGTTTCTAATATGTCCTTTAGGCATTTGGAAATATGGCAACAGAACTATGGCATGAGTTGAATAAAAACAGAAGAGCCAAAAGTTGAACCCTAAGTAACCTAACATTTTATGCAACAGCAAAAGACAGCTGATCTCAGTCATCCAGATGGTTTCATCTTTCTGACCATTCCTTGACCTTGTGGTCATGATTTTCCTTTTACCTCCTTAGTCAGAATGTTCTCCAAAACTCAGTCCCTGGCCATTTGACTGTTTCCTGTTATATTCTTTGGAGGAATCAGCTTGAGCCTCTCTGCATTTCTAAAGAAAACTTAACCTAAGCTTTGCTCTTCTATTTTACTGTCTTGAGGGTATTTTCAACTTGCATTTCTATTTCAAACTCAACTAAAGCTGAAATTATATATCTTTGCTCCAACTCAAAACATGACAGCATTTGTATTCAAGTTTCTCATAATTGAAACCTTTGAGTTATTCTAACTCCTCCTCCTACTTTAGCCTGTATGGTCAATTTAAAAAAAAAAAAAAACTTTAAATAATAAACTCTTTTCATTGTTCCTTTAACTTGTTCCAGTCTAGGTCTTCATCACCTCACTCTTAGGTTACTATTTTCTCCACTTGTTAAAGATTCTATTATGATAAAAAGCCTCTAGAGCTGACATCATGGCTCTTTTATCAGGATTTCCGTAATTATTCTAATCAATCTCTAACACATAGAAATAAGCAATATTTTCTCTACAGATATATATAAATATATAGTATGATTAGTAGACAGACATATAACATTTGGCAAATAAAAAGGTTCTCATGTAAATGTTTAGTAGGTGAATAGATGTGCTGATTACTGTTCAATGATAATAACAAAAAAAAAAAACCCAGAAAATATCTCTTACTTTGTCAGCAAGGAATTGGTTGCGACGCTCTTCAATCAGTTTTTCCACAGCCCTCCTGTGTTCGAGTTGCTTCATTCTTTGTTTCTGAGCATTCATTAATTCTATTCGATCATCCTCAGCAAGTTTGGCTAGCATTGCTTTCCTGAAGACCTCCTCTTCCTCCTTTGCAGCCTGGAGTACTATTTCCTTCACTGCCATTTGGTCAATAAAGTCTTGCTTCATCTCTTTTTGTTTTCTCAATTTCTCTTCTGCTTCTTCCTAAACGGTAATACATAGAAAAGTTAATTCAGTAACTTTCTCTTTAGCAGATATATAAAAGAATGGGATAATTTGGTTAAGTGTTACAATATGAAATAAAACTGAAAACGTAATCCTTTTGAAGATAACACTTTGCCCCATCCTTTAAAACAAATTGGCTACCAGGATATTTTGGAATCTTAATTTGTATATGTTTACCATCTTGTTTCTGTACTCAGAATACCTAACTACGTTGGAAAAAGCTGACTTTAAAATTATTTTGCACACCTAAATTTATAAAAACTGGTCTGAAATTTGTACCAACTAATTATCTTTTCAGGCTTCCCTGAAACTTGCTCAAATCACTTAAATATTTTTCAGAACATTAATCTTGCAATGATGATCAAATTTTCAGGGAAATTCAGATTTACTTGGAGTAAAGTACTTTTCTGCAACATTTATGAAAAATTTCAAGCATAACCAAAAAATAATTTTACCGTAATCACCCCTGATTAACACATATTCTATCAATAACATTTTACTGTTTTTGCTTTTAATTAGGAGTGATGTAAATTTCAAATTCTTTCACCAATGTTGCTCAATTCTGACACAAATGCCAAGTAGTCCAGTATCCTAAAAGCATTCATAATATTTCCCTGACATCAAACTGTATGGTCAGGACTCTTCAAAGTAACGCAAACTAGAAGGGGTTAACTACAGATCATCGGGAGGACCAGGAAATGTAGCTGCCATCCCAGTGCTCAAATGTCATTCTGGCTCTACCCAAGCTATCCCCAAAGACGTGCTCATGCTGCATGTGGCTGCCATCTCATGTGGCTCTCTTCCATGTTCATACCTTTGAATGGGGGAGAAGGCTGTTGGAATTAAACCAGGTTATATGAAGAATTCTATCTAAAAGAAATGAAATATAATTTTAACTTGCCTTTACAAGACAAAAATGTTTTTAAAAAGGGTTGGTATAGGTTTTAAGAGAGTCTGCAGTATCAGCTATAAAGATTCAGTGATTGAGTATTCAATCTCTTCACTTCTCTCCAACCCCCTTTAAAAAAGACTTTTCATAAAGTCTTTTCTAGGAGATCTACCTCATTTATCTCTTTTTGGCCTTATACCATTTATTTGTTCCACCATTTATCTCATATGTACATGCCTTATCTCTTCACCAAAAAGGGTGAAGAGTATCTTTGGGATACTGGGCACGTAGTGTTTTTATAATACATAGTTTGTGCTTAGCTACCATATACAGACATTAAAAGAAGGCAGAGATACTGTCTCAGGTTTGGAATCCTCAGAGCTTACCATACTTTGCACACAGAAATTTTATAATGACTTGAAATTGACATTTCCTGGCATCCATCTCCCATATAAATTTTAGTTTAATACAATGGTGAAAACATCTGGAAGTGTTTGGCAAGATAAAACATCATTCATTGTATTTCTTCAACAAGAAAAGTGTTCATGTATTCCTTAGATATGGCTGAATTGGGATTATGTAGATATAAAATGTAAACTGCATAATCTTCCTTTCTTTTAAGTTCTAAAATCCATGAGATTTTAGATCCCTTATCTAAATAATTTGAAATATTTTGCTATAAATATTTGCTTTTTTGAAATAATTTGCTATAAAACAACTCTGAACAAGAAATTCCGAGGTATCTTAGTTTGAGTTTTACTCTGAAAGGAGATACTTAAGGTTATTTATTATCCTCACACTAGTATAAGAAGAAAACTAAAATTTAATATTTTTCCTGAACATGCACATTAAAAATTCTAAATGAAATTTTAGAAAACAGATTCCAGCAATGTATTAAATTATACCAAGACCAAGTGGGGTTGATTCTAATGATGCAAAACTGGTTCCATTCTCAAAATATCAAGTCAATTCACCATGCTTAAGAAAAACCACATGATCATATCAATAGACATAGAAAAAGGACTCGACAAAATTTAATACCCTTTCATTTAAAAATAAACCTGAAAAATAGGGATGGGCTTCAACTTAGTAAAAATGTTAAGACAGGCAATACAGAAAGCTTAGGTCTATTCTCATCATCCTTAACATAGGGGTAGACAGTGAAATGGGCAATATAAGGTGAACTAAAACTGATCATATTTGTATATTCATGACTATAGAAAAAAATGCAAATTCAACAAAGCCATGAGATACAAGATAAATGTCAGTTTGCTAGCAATGAGTATATAGACACTGAAATTAAAACAAATTCCATTTATAATTGCTCCAAAAAAAAAAAAAACCTTAGATATAAATCTAACAAAACATAGGATTTGTATTCTGAAAACAATATGATGAAAAATTCAAAGATGATCTAAATAGTCAATGTGTTCATGAAATGGAAGATTCAATGTGTCAATTCTCCCAAAATTGATGCTCAGATTTAATGCAATTCCTATCATCAAAGTACTATTTGTAGATAGAATCAGTATAATGCTATAATTTATATGGAAAGACAAAGAAACCAGAAGAACTAAAACAATCAAAGACTTACTAAGTGGCCTCAGTTATCAAAACTGTATGGGATTGGTGGAGGGGGCCACACATAAATACAAAAAAAAACAGATCCCAGAAATGGAATCATACAGATATGCTAAATGTGTTTTAATAAAGCTGCAAATCATTTTAACTTGAGGTCAACTTTGTTATTGTTTTACACTACAACCTGTGATTTTACGGTTAAGTTATACAGTCTATTAATGAGGAAAATATACAGCATAGTTATAAATCTTTTAAAATCTCTGAAATCTTCAACTGTAATTTTGGATTTGTCCTTCTCTTTTTGCTTTTAATAGTTCAGCTTCATGTATTTGAAAGCTTAATGTAGGTTCATACACCTCTAGCACTATTATATCCTCGAGATGAATTTGCCCTATTATCACGAGTTCCACTCCAGTTTGCTTCTGATTTAGTATTTGTATAGTATCAATATATCTTTCTGCTTTTAAACTACATGTGTCTTCATATTTAAATTGTGTTTCTTTTACACAACATAGTTGCATCATGTTTTTTATGAACTTTATGAATGCTGCCTGGATCTAGCTTTTTTTTTAAATCCAGCCTGAAAATTTCTCGTCATTACAATGTTTACACCATTTCCATATAGTGAAATTATTAATGTCAGTCTGTTTAAATGTCTGGGTTCATCTCAAATTATTATTCTCTAGGTTAATACTTCCGAAACTTCCGAAACTTACTTTTAGTTTCTTCTTATGTATTTCAGCTTGTTCTTCCTGGTATAATTCTTGTCGCACTTGTTCCAAATCTTCACGTTGCCGCAGCATTTCTTCTAATTTCTGAGTCAGCTATTAAAAAAAAAAAAAAAAAAAAAACCACAACACACACAGTTCAGGATTTCTGCAGTGCTAAATAAGTGGTTAGTCAAACAAAACAAAACCAAAAATAGACAACTATAAATCAGACATTCTGCAGGGGAGGGGGAGGGAGAGGGGTCAAAAAGAGGGCGGGAAGAGCACAAGGGCCTATGGAGATGGTGCACGGGTGAACTGGTGGTGGAAACTATGGGGACTACTCCTGAGAAAAGCAAACACTAAAGAAAAAAATGAAAAAAAGATGTAAAATATAAATAAAAAAAAAAGTGGTTATTCAATTACTATATTCTGAAGCTGTATCCTTTTTTCTTCACTTTCTTGAACTTTGGCCATGCGGTCGTCTTCTCTTTGTTGCTGCATGTTGGCAAACTCGAGGATCTTCCTGTTTTCTTCTTCCATTTCCTCACGTTTTTTTTCTCTCCAGAGAGCCTGCTCTCTCTGAAACTCTTCTATATACTTCCGAGTTGCATTCATTTTTTCCAACTTCTGTTGTCTTTCCCTAAGAAACAGTAGCGTTTTATAGTAACAGAAATAATCAGAAAGTGTCATTTCTTTTAGTCAGTAAAGGGGAAAGGTGCTTTTTCCTATTTTTCTGCTTGTTTATTCACTCATACAACACTAAAATACGTACCACATCATATAATAACAGGTATGACTTTTCTCCAATTACCACTTGTGCCTCTTCTCTAATCTTTGAAGTGTCACGCATCTCATTTCAAAGACTACAACCTGTCTACCTAACTTTCAGAATACTCTACACTTCAACTGTCTGACAAGGAAATTCATCAAAAACAAGTCCTCTAACATACATGGGCATATGAAACAAGGGTTTAGTCACTCAGTCACGTGCTAAACATTATCTGATAATTACCATGCTAATGAAATCATTTGTTATGTGATCATAACATCTACTGAGGGCTAACTATGTGTCAGGTAATGTTTAGGTGTTTCACTTCTTCCCAAGAAGCCTAAATTAATTTCATATACCTATTTAGACATGTAAGAAAGTTGGGATAAACTTACAATTGATCTTCCTCATAGATTTTTCTAACAATTTCATCAATCATGAGTTTTTCTTTCAGCAACTGCTCATAAGCTTCCTGCTTTTTTCTTTCTTGTTCTTCAAGTTGCTTCTCTAAGTCAAGATAGTACTGTGCCTTCACTTTATTTCGTCTGTCCTCTGCTGCATTCTCTTCCTTTATTACTCGCTCTTGTTCTTCCATCATGGTTTTGGCTATTTCAGCATCACGTTTCTGGAATTGTAACAAAATTCATCTTTCCATTTTCACATAGGAGCGCAGTATATCAGAATATTTTTGAATATGTAATTGTATATTATAAAGTCTGTTACATAAAATATTTTCACCTGTCTGGTGAAAAGCAAAGGAAAGTCACTACCACTTAAAGGGCTTAAAGAATGAATCAAACCCTAAAGAGGCTTTTCTATTACTTCAGGAGCTCCCTAAGGTAATATGTGATGAAGATAGTAACTCCACATTTGGAAAACAGTAAGTAAAAGTAGAAATCTTTATTAAATCTTAACTATGTTAACTGCCAGATCAGCAGTCATCTTTTTTTTCCTATTTAAAACTTGATGGAGGCAATTTCTACAATTTTATTCCATTTTGTGTCAGCTGCATCTCAGAGTAAGGATGGTACGTTTTCATACAGGTGTGCTATTAAATAGGTGTGAGCAGCTCTGTTGCCCCAGCCTGAATTTTCTTTCCTACCACTGACTTTCAAGTCTGCCCTTTCTCATTTATTAAAGGTTCTTTGTAATTATTTTTAACTTAAATGGGTGGCATATGTCGCTGTACCTCTTTTCTATAATTTTTAATTCACTTATTTAAGGCATTCCCTGAGTTACAGTATTGCTTCCTGAAGGGTAAATGCCTTGATTTGAGCATTCCGAAATCATTTTTAAAATAAATTTTAAATTAGAGCCTCCCTGGTGGTGCAGCGGTTTGAGCACAGCGCTGTGAAGCTGTCCGCAGCCTCTGCAGCACAGGTTCGATTCCCGGGCGGCCAGGGAACAGACTTCTCCTGCCTCTCCTGCTGCTTCCCTCAGCATTGTACTTCAGTCTGCCTGTTCTGCTCCCTGCTTTGTCTCTGGTGAATTCTCTCACCCTCCTGCATCTCTGGCCTGTACCCCAGCTCTTGTATAAATAAATAAAATCTTAAAAAAAAATCTCATTTAAAAAAGTTGAAAAAAAAAAAAGTAATGATCCATACTCAACTACCTATTTAAAACTCAACCTTTTGATTACACAAGAGCCTCACTCCATTGGCAGTCCTTCAAGAACACATTGAAAAGCACTACTTTAGGGCCTCCCCGGTGGCCCAGCAGGTTGAGTGCAGCGCTGTGAAGCTGTCCACAGCCTCTGCAGTGCTGGTTCGATTCCTGGCTGGCCAGGGAGATTCCCACATGGCAAGGCAGAACTCCTGTCTCACCCGCTGCTCCCCTCAGCAGTGTAATTCGGTCATCTGCCTGTTCTGCTCCCTGCTCTGTCTCTGGTGAATTCTCTCACCCTCCTGTGCCTCTGGCCTGTATCCCAGTTCTTGCATAAATAAATCTTTTTAAAAATTTAAATATATTGAGATATTGAGGCAATCTGAAAATTACCCTTAACCATTTTGATCACATCCTAAATGCTAGAATGATTAGCAATATCAGGCATAGAAAAGAAACAGACTAAAGTACAAATGCCAAATTTCTGAAAACCATTCCTGATCTAATTGATGCCTTTAACACATACACTGATAATATGATCTGATCAAGTTTTTCTTTGCTTGTTTTCGTAACACATTGTACTAGGTTCTTTAGAAAAAATATGAAATTACAAAAACATTTATGAACAGATTACCACATACTTATGGATGTATATTGTTCTCATTTCAGATAAGAAAATGAAGGTGCAGCCAAAACCAGAACCTAGATATCCTAACACCTATTCCCCCTAGGAGTATTTGACTTTAACTTTTTGTGGGTCAATTTTAATCAAAAATAGCAGTGTTTTTAGGAGTCAGAGTAAAATATCTAAAACTTCCTTTAATAACCTCAATTATCAGGATAATTAAAATTGCAAACTACTGGTCCAACAGTAGATTGTTTATGTTCCACTTTAATTTTGAAAGGGTAGAACAGAACTACATCTGTAGTAATTAAAGTCTCCTCACACTCCCCTCCCACATCCAAGGTTATCACTATTAACAGCTCTCTGTGTAACCCCCTCCAGACTTTCTATCCTAACACATGCACTCTGGTCAATATTCTTATTTGATGCCTTTGCTGTACTGTACTCTTTCAGCATTTTGATATTACTCTTCTCATGGTGGGGTACTGTGTGTGGCTATGTTCACTTGTGCATATAAATACATGTTTATATATATATATATATATATATATACACATAAGTATCTGTACAGGTTTTTTTAAAAAAATTCAAATGATCTGTGATACGTATTATTCTCCAACTTGATTGTTCTGCAACTCGTTTTTTTTTTTTAATCCATGGTATTCTAGCCAACTTCTCTCTTTTTTTTAATAGCCATAAATCATCTTTGAAAGGGATGTAGAAGAGTGAATTCTGTCACCAAAATGCTTTAATATCAAAAAATGAGAGAAGACCGTCAAAGACTAAGAATCCAATTGGAACTTTCATGTGTGTCTAACCTCTCAGTGTAATGAGAGCACAAGTAACGACATACACCCAGCTCTTTAAGTGTTACTTCAGTAAGTCCTGCTTTATACTGTACAGCATAATGCTGTTGGTGTGTCTGAGACACTTTTCCCTGAGTGACTCTTGTCCTGAAGTTGACCATATGTGCCAGGAGTTAGAAAGGGGATAAAATAGAAAAGAAGAATGCTGCTTATAAAACAGGAAAGTTTCCTATGTAGCATTATAAAATATCACTTTTAGAAACATTTTAAAAATAAGAAAATTAATATAAAATATACTGATCATGGTAGTAACTTGGACTGTACTGGTTTGTCAAAGAGTGTAAAGAATGCTAAAATTACTCGAATATAGCTGTGCATTCTAAGCAGCAACTTAATTTCAACTTTGAAAGGCTCTGATATTTAAGAAGACCCAGTATTACATAAGCCATAATTTCCTATACCTTAAATAATCTATAAAGTGTAAATGTATTTGAGAAACCTAACAGCATAAATTTTTTAGAGTATTTAACAATTTTCAAAACATTGCTCTAATTTTAGTTTTCTAAATGAAGCTAAAAATAGAGAACATAATCACAAACATGATTACCATTTGTTCATATTTAATGACATCCTTTTCAGCAATCTGAGCTGCCCTTTCTTTATTCATATAAGCTGCTTTTAATTTCTTCTCCAGTTCTCTGATTTCAAAACTGTTGGAAAAAAATTAATTTGAGGATCACGTTTTCTTTAAAAATAAATGAAATTAAAAATTTTAATGGTAAGACATTATTTTTTAAGTATTTTGAAAAAAATACTTTCCTCTCTTAATCCAAAGCAAAATCAGAATGCATGTGAAATGGGACATTGTAATTATTTTTCTGGACAAAACAACCCTTTTAAGTAATCATCACTTAAAATATTTTTGCTAGGACCTGGGTCACAGAAGATGCTTTATCAATACTGGTTAAAATTTCTGTCCAGCTAATATTATCAAGCTAAAAGAAAAGTTATAGTGGAGGAGTTTTATATCTAAGCAAGTTACTTAGCAAGATTTAATATTCAGAATATAGAAAGGATCCCTACAACTCAACAACAAAGGATGTAGAACCCAATTCAAATTCAAAAGCCCTTACAGATTCCCTCAAAAGAAACAATGGAGAATAAGCACACGCAAGACATACTTAACATCATTAGTCATTAGGGAAATGCCCATCAGAATCACAATGATACACATTTTTCATAAAAGTAAAAATTTTTAAAGTGTTGGTGGTGGGCCTCCCCGGTGGCGCAGCGGTTGAGCGCTGGGTTGCGAAGCTGCCCGCGGCCTCTGTGGCGCTGGTTCGATCCCCGGCTGCTTCCTGGCCACCGGAGGAGGATCCCACGTGGCGCGCAGACCTCTCCTGCCGCCCGCTGCTCCCCTCAGCAGTGTACTTCGGTCCTTCTGCCTGCTCTGCTCCCCACTCTGGCTCTGGTGAATTCTCTCACCCTCCCGCGCTTCTGACTGTACCCAGTGCATGTATAAACAAAACAAACAAACAAATAAAATAAATAAATAAAGCATGCCTCTATTTAAAAAAAAAAAAAAAAATGTTGGTGGAGGTGTGGACACACTGGAGCCTTGGACATTGGTAGTGCAAGGTGATTATGAGGGGTCTGTCACACGGGCACTCTGCCTAGCATCTACCAAATTTCCAGACTCCTAGAAGGGAAAGAGGAGTTCAGCATAAACCATGCTGTTTTCCCAGTTTGGGCGCTCATGATAGTGTTAAGAACCTTCCTAAAACCCAACTTTCAAGGAGCAAACTCCTAAATATTATTTTCCAAGGCTGTCAGACTCAGGGCTGTTATGGTAACTCTTTTCTGCACAACTTTTTTAGATTCATTAGATTCATCACATTTTCTCCTGTATTAATGTAATTATATATTCATTTTCAATTTTTCAATACAGCAACCACAACATGTTTGTTCAACTCTAAAAAAACTGTCCATTATTTTTTACAATAAAATACTTGACTACTGTAACTCCTTGCATTTTCTTCCTATCGTTTTCTGCTTTAGTTTTCTATATTTTTAGCACTTTGTATATATATATACACATACATACACACACACACACACACACACATATATTAAAATCCCAGCAGGCACAAAGAATGAGTTACATCTTCAAATTTCACCTAATGTATAATAACTGAAGTGGAAAGCTCCTCTATTTCACTCTTATGTCAGTGAATTAAGCAAAGATGTTGAAATATTTATTTCATTTACAGATAACAAAATAATGAATGGTAGCTAACATGACTGAAATTTATCTTCCTGAAATTAATACTGGGATGATTTTCATTCTTCCACCTAAAGAATTGCTTGTTCAAGGTTACTAGTGATCAATTCTTTGTTTTTCTGAAAATACTGACACTTTTAAATCCATGTCACCGACTTTATTAACATCTTGACTGTCAGTCTAGAAAATAACTACTGGAATCTGCAAAAAACTGGTTATACATTTAATAAACAAAGACTATCTTTGCCTCTGAGCTACTTTGTATTGAACAAATCAAATTATGTGAGGTGCTTGTTTTTGCTTTCATAAAGCTATATATGAACTATAATAAATATACAGTTGCTAATAATATACAATTTTACAATTATAATGGTAAATAATTATAAATTATAATCAGTTTTGCCATTGTGATTAGTTGCTAAGAGCTATACTATAGTTTCCAAAAATAGGCAGTTTCCCAATAGTAATTAAAAGCAGTGATAAAATTGACTTAAATATTTTCTTGGGTTAAAAAAATATGTTCAACATCAACTAAAGAGTCTAGTGAGTTTTGAACTCAATTATTTTCAAAAATTTACCCTGGTTTTAAACATGTATCTCTTAGTTTTATGGAGCCAATATTAATATGGATGAATTTTAATTATTTAGGTCTGAATTATTTATTAATTATTTAAACCTGAATTTAGACCTGCCAATTTGCAAATGAATACACTGATCAGAAAAATGGTTCATTTCTGCATGACAGTCAAAAATTTTACCTTGCTTTATTAAAAAACTAGCAGTTTTGACATGTTGGGAGGGAGCACACTATTTGAAAGAGTTCTCAATTGAATGACTTAACTTTAAAGAAAATCTTCACAAGGTATATAATTATAGATGGGCTTTTTTTCATCTCAACTTCTGTTGCTATTCAAAATGCAGTCATACTTGTTATTGTTGCTCCTTTCAAAGTAACGCCTTTTGGGCTGCTTTTGTGGTTTTTTAAGATTTCCTCTATTGTTGGATTTGAAATGGTCAGTTAGGATAAGTTAAGGTGCAGTTGTCACCATCATGTTTTAGCCTGTGATTAGGAAATTCTTATCTATTCAAATACTGGAAATTCTTATCTATTCAAATACTGCTTCTGCATCATCCTTTCATTTCTGCTTCCAGTACTAGAATTATACATCTGTTAGAATTTTTGACTATAGCCCTCATCTCTAACATTATATTCCATATTTTCCAATCATTTTGTCTCTCCATGCTTTATTCTAAACATTTTCTACTAACCTGTTCACACATTACATCATCATCTGTTTATAACTAATAAAATCTAGTTAAATTCTGTATTGGTCAAGTAAAATATGATAAAGTGCACAAATCATAAGCATATTGTTTACACCTTACCATAAGCGTACTGGCTATAAGCACTGTTAACTTCTGAACTCACAGCCTTACTTAAGGAATCAGCAGAAACGTTCAGAGGAAATGCAGCTACAAATGCCAGGCTTTCTTACCACTCTGGCAGATCTTATTTTTATACTTTCTCTAGACATTCTTTTCTCAGAGGCAGCATTTATCTGAAGCACCTAATTTATAATAACTGAAGTGGAAAGCTCCTCTATTTCACTCTTATGTCAATGAATTAAACAAAGATGTTGAAATATTTATTTCATTTACAGATAACATAAAACCGTGAATGGTAGCTAACATGACTGAAGAATTAAGGTCCAAAAAACATAGTTTGAGACTATGGCAATATGAAGTTAGCGTAATTCTAAATCTTTTCAAATAATAGTAATACCCTAAACAATTTGATAAAAGTTGTGGACTCAGAAAAATGTATATCTAGATACATTTGCCAAACATATATAATTTCGTGATGCTCAAACACTGAGGCTTAGCCATCAGTCATAATTGTCTCCAGAAGGCTTGCTCCCAAAGTGTTACAACTATCAAAGTAAAATTTCAGTATATTCAATTACAGAAGTAGAGGAGCATTTAGTTAGCCTTGAGTTGTCATCAGCAGGGGGATATAGCTGTCCCTAAAACATAATTCAATCTTAGCTACCATTAAGAAGCAGACTAGAAAAATGTGGCTAATAGTACCATTTTAGGGGTACTAAGCATTATCCTGCTGTATTATGAATAATTGTGGTGGCAGAATTTATTTATTTATTTTTTTTTAGGAAACATCAAAAGGAGAACCAAAATGGTGAAGAAGCTTGAAACCATGTTATATAAGAAACAAATGAAGGAATGAGGGACATTTAGCTAACAAGAAAATATGGGGTTTTCAGAAAGTCTTGATGTTATTTTCTCTATTTTTCAAGCAAAAATATATCATGACTTTTCCGACAGCCCAATATTTAGTGAATTCATAAATATGAAAGGATGTCCTAAAGAACTAAGTTTATTTGTTATTGTTGGGGTTTTTTTAAATCAGAAATGAGATAAATGATAGAAAGTTACAGGGAAATTAATTTTGAAATAGGGGTGAAATTCTTTAAAAATAGGATTGTCTAAGTAGGCTCTAGGTATCTTTTGATGGCTCACAGGTATATGAAAGGATGTTCAGCATCAACACCACATTTGTGAGAGCAGTTTTCATTAAAATAAAAACAAACAAGAATAACTAGTATTGGCAGGGATGTAGAGAAAAGAACATTCTTGAGCACTGTTGGCAGGAATGTTAATCGATGCAGACACAATGGAAAGTAGTTTAAAGGTTCCTTAAAAACTTAAACATGAAACTATCATATGACCAGCAATTCAACTTCTGGATATTTGTTCCAAAAGAAACTTATTCACATATCAGAAGATATGTTCACATCCATGTTCATTACAGCATTACTTTTACAACAACCAAGATATGGAAACAAGTGTCCATCATCGATAGATGAATGAATAAAGGGGGCTAGGGGCTAAGTGCAATGGACTATGGTGAAGGACTATGGGTGTTCATGGTGGTGGGAGTACTATGATGACCACACCTGAGGAAGAAATCCTATACTGTCAAAATATTAACAAGGGTATAAAACAATGGTACTTCATTAAAAAAAATTTTTTTAAAGATTAAAATTTTTTAAAGGTTAGCATTCTCACTCAATTATATTGAGTTTATGCAATATTTTGATGTAAATTTTCTTCCTCAATGTAACCTGTAATAACACAAAATTGCAAAATGAAGCAATTATAGTAGAGGCTCAAAAAATTTTTAAAAAGTCAGGACTGAATGAAATATTAAGTTCCTATTAGTCACTAGAAGTGCTGAACCACAAGTGACCACTTTCTAGAAATACTGTAGGTAATTTACCTAGGGTATAAAATTAAGTTAGTTATCACCAAAGATTTTAAGAGTAGGCTTCTGTAAGTTTATTTATAAAAGGTCATTCTAAACATGTTAAGAGGAAAGAGTCAATGTTTATTTTTACCTTAAATATTAACCTATTCCATATACAATTTTTGTGAAATGAATATAGAATTTAAAGCAGTATTTCTAGGCAAAATATTAACTGTGTACAATGATATTAAAAAAAATCAGGTGCTAACTATTTCATACAAGTTTAAAGTAGTAAGTGAAATTTGTAGAAACCACAATACCTGTTCTCTCTTACTTGTTGCCTCATCTTTTCATCCTTTAGACTTTCATGTTTTAGTTTTGCCAATTCCATAGCCAATTTTTCTTCTTGTTCAAGCTGGAGTTTCTTCAGTCTTTTGTTTTCTTCTGCCTGAATAAAAAAAAAAAGTTATTTGTCCTCCAAAATTATATTTTTTCCATCAAGGTTGAATTTGTTGTAACAGAAAATGCCTTCAGAGTAACAGAAATTGTTTTATTTTAAAATACCAGGTGTTATTTCAATAAGCATTTTTTGATCACTTATGAAAAATATCAGATACCACCCAAATCACTAAAATCTAAATATTAAAATACCCCTCAGATGGCCATCACTCATCTTCAACAGTTACACCTATTTTGGCAATCTCTTCTCCACTCTTCCACTCCACTCTCACTTTTTGTTGTTTGCTCGAGTATTTTAAAACAGATCCAAAATATGCCATTATCATGTAAATAAGTCAGTAATGATCTCTACCCAGGAAGATTTTATTCTTCTCTAACAATCATGCCATCAGTGTGTCTAAATAATCAATCATTCTTTAGTAATATCTTGTCCATATTCATGTTTCTCCAATTGTCTCAAAGTATACCTATTGCATCATGTTATTTCTCTCCAGGCTCGTTTATTCTCTAAAACAAACTTCCTCCACCCCCCTGCCACTGATTTATTGTAGAAAACAGAACATATGTCCCATGTTTTGAATTTGGCCTTTTGCTTCCCTGGGATATATTCATTTGTTTTTCTTTTGTACATTTCAGGTAAAATGGTAGCCTTAATTAATATTATCATCAGAAAATTCAAGTTAAAACTACAGTAGTATGTCACTGCATCACCTAATAGGGTGGCTAAAATAAATAGTGGCATAACCAAGTGCTGGTGAGAAACTGCCTCACAAAATGCTGGGTGGAAATGTAAAAATGATAACACTAGGGAAACTGTTATAAAGCTAACAGCAATTACCTTACAACTCAACTACAATCTCAAGTCATTAATGAAAATACCAGAGATATGGAAACACCATTTATTTAAAAACTTGTATCCAAATGTTCACAGCATATTATTTAAAATAGCCAATATTGAAATATGCACACATCCTTCACCAGATAAATGGTCAAATAAATAGCACATCCATACCATGGAATATAACTCAGCAATAAAAAAGGAGGAAAGAAGAAATGACCTAGATGGATCTGTACAAATTATGTTCAGTGAAAACAATCAATCTCTAAAGGGTAGTATTGTTTGATTCCATTTATATGATGTTCTTGGAATAATCTATATTTAAATTGAAATGTCACAATATAAACTCAGTGGTTTTTAAGTATAGTCACAATGTACAACCATCACCCCTACCTAGTTCCAGATTTTTAAAATTTTAAATGGACTATTTTTTGTTCTTTGGAGCAGTTTTAGGTTTAAGCAAAATTGAGGAGAAAGGAAAGAGTTCCCGTATACACTGTGCTCCCTGCACCCACCACATGCACCGCTTCTCTCACAATCAGCAACCGACACCAAAGAAGTACATTTGTTATCAATGAACCTACACCAACATCACTATCACCCAAGTCCATCGCTTACATCAGGATCTACGCTTTGCTGTTGTATAGTCTATGGGATTTGACAAACTTATTTGACTAATCCATTCTATGGTTTTTCACATGTATCTACCATTACAGTGTACAGAATAGTTTTATTCCCCTCAAAATCCTATTCTACCTTTTCAGCCCTCCTGCTCTTCAATCCCTTGAGACCATAGATCTTTTTATTGTCTCTATAGTTTTACCTTTTCCAGAATATCAAAGAGTTTGAATCATACTATATGTTGCCTTTTCAGATTGGTTTATTTCACTGAGCAATATATATTTAAGGTACCTTCATGTCTTTTCATTATGTGATGGCTCATTTCCTTTTATATCATCAAAAGATACCCTAGCATTTGAATTATTTCTACATTCACCTATTGAACATCTTGGTTGCTTCCAAGTTTTATCAATTATAAACCTCCCTATGCAGGTTTTTATGTGGACTTAAGTTTTCAACATTCCAGAACATTTTCATCACTTCAAAAAGGAGCCCCATAATTGTTAGCAGTCAATGGAATGGACACTATGCCATATTACATGTATTAAAAATCAATCACATATGACTATAAAGGTGTTTAGGAAGTGGTGGATGTAAGTGACCTTGGAAAACAATGTTTGAATAGGTATTATAAGGGTAAAGTGAAAAACAACTTACCCAAATCTATATTGTAGTAACTAATTTGTTATTCATGGGGGAAGGTTAGCAATTCAGAAACTACTTTATTTGTATCCTGGGGTTGAAACAATCAATAAATAATATATTGTAGAAAATGAAAGCCAGCTTCCCTTTTGTTGGAGAAAGTTATACATATGGAATGGGGAAAGGCTAACATGACCCCTGTGGTGCTAAACTGTACTGAGTGGTACCAAGGTAGACTGGTTTTTTATTAATAAATGCATGCAGATAAAAGAATGAAGCTTGACCACTACCTCACACCATACACAAAAATCAGCTCAAAATGGATTAAAGAACTAGACATAAGACCTGAAACCATAAAATACATGGAAGGAAATATAGGCGAAACATTAGGTGATATGCACATCAAAGACATCTTTACAGACACATCACCCAAAGCAGTGATAGTGACGGCAAAGATAAACAGCTGGGACTACATCAAATTAAAGAGCTTCTGCACAGCAAAAGAGACAATAACAAAAACGAAGAGAAACCCCACCAACTGGGAGAACATTTTTGCACACAACACTAATGATAAAGGACTGATCACAAAAATCTACAAAGAGCTGACGAGACTCAACAACAACAAAGAAAATAATCCAGTCAAAAAATGGGCAGAAGAGCTAAAAAGAAACTTCTCTGAAGAGGAAATGCAAATGGCCAACAGGCATATGAAAAAATGTTCAACATCACTTGTCATCAGGGAAATGCAAATCAAAACTACCATGAGATACCATCTCACACCAGTGAGAATGGCACATATTAAAAAAACTAGCAACAACTAGTGGCGCAGTGGTTGAGCGCTGGGTTGCGAATGCAGCGCCCGATCCCCGGCTGCTTCTCACACCAGTGTAGAAATGACTGCACATATTAACAAAAACTAGCAACAACAAATGTTGGCGAGGGTGTGGAGAAAAAGGAACTCTTCTGCACTGTTGGTGGGAGTGCAGACTGGTCCAACCACTATGGAGAGCTGTGTGGAGATTTCTGGACCTACTAAACATAGAGCTTCCATATGATCCAGCAATTCCAATCCTAGGTATTTACCCAAAGGACAGAGAAACATTAATTCCAAAGAGCACCTGCACCCCTATGTTTATAGCAGCACTATTTACAATAGCTAAGCTTTGGAAACAACCCAAATGCCCAAAAATAGATGACTGGATCAAGAAGATGTGGTACATATACACCATGGAGTATTACTCAGCATTCAAAAAAGATAAACACATGCAATTTGCAGCAACATGGATGGCGCTGGAAGGGATCATGCTCAGTGAAATAAGCCAGAAAGAAAAAGAAAAATACCGGATGGTCTCACTCATAGCAGGAATCTAGAAAACTTAAATAAGGGACCAGGAAAATGAGTAACTATAAGAAAGTGAAAATCAAAATCAACAAAAAACTATGAACCAGAGACACTATGTGGGGTTGGGAGGGGAGGGATTGGGGTCAAAATAAGGGGGTTGCAATTGTATGGGGAATATAAAAATAAAATTTATTTAAAAAATAAAAAAATAAATGCATGCAGATAAACGCAAAAGTAAATGCAGATGTGTGTGAATGCACTGGTGAGTGTACTTTTAGTTCTAGTTCTTTCTGTCTAAAAGTAAAACTGTAAAATCCCAGTAATAATGAGCATGCCTTATCATTCAGAGCTTGGTTTTTAAGTACAGTTCTCCAATAAAAGTAACCAAATCTCCTTAAGAAAATTGGCTGATTTCAAGGCAAGGAAATAATAAGCTGAGCCTGGAAATCTTGTGGAACCAGAAAGCAAGAGAATGCAACAAAACAAGCTAGATCATGTAAGAAGGGCACAGCAGACACCCCGAGAAAGATCAAAATTGGAACTGAACAACAAAATTAAGTATTGTTTATACCATTATTTTGATTATAATTCATTAATGAATCTACACTGATATAAAGAAGTAAATATATGGGAGAGGACAACTCTTACAGAAAAAAATCCAATAAGTAAATAAAAGATATGAGGCAAATAGAAGATAACCATTAGTATCTGAAAGTAGTAACTGCTGAAGGCAAGATTCACCACTGAATTTCAACATTAGTGGACAAAAATTAAACAGAAGCAGCATACTTGGATAGTCTCAAAGTGTCTCTCAAAGTATTTAGTATTTACAAAGTGTAAAATAATTCTAAAATAACTTCATTTTAAATATTACAGAGGCAAATCCTGGTAAATAACACCTTAACCAAGTGATTGAGTTTAATAACAAAACAGGGCACATTAATATCATGTACTCCCTATATGAAGCATGGAAGGTTTGCTAGGGATCTTTACAATGGAGGATCTAGGCTGCTTACAATCCACTCATGGACATTAACGTCATTAAAAGCAGAATAACACCACACATCATATACCTGCAGTTACACTTCACTATCAAGGCCAGCATCACCTATGCAATACTTGTCAAAAAAAGGTGTACGTAAGTCTAATCATAGCTTTACTGCTAATTTCCTTTTAAAGAAAATACAAGAGCTAGTGGGATAAACTAAAGTAACAAATAAGGAAGCAAACAGATAAATTCAGACTGTGGGGTATCGCATAAAACAACTGGCCTCAGTTCAACACATTAAAAACATGAAGGTAAATAAATGGAGAGACTGCTTTAAACTAAGAGGCAACTAACAGACTATGTAAACCTTATTTGGATTTTGATTAAAACAAATCAACTTTGAAAGCAGATTTTTGTCAAAAATCACAGAAGTTTTTATTATGGAATGGCATTAAATGGTACTTAGAATTTTATGATAATTCTAATAGGTGGGATAGGGACATTAAGATACTATTACATTAGAAAATATATTTATAAGATGCTTATTGACATGCAGAAGAGAGTTGATATGTGTGATTTTCTTTAAAATTAAGGGAAGAAAAAAAATCTAACCCCCACATCTTCTGGCTCAAGAATAAAAAAAATCCTGTCTAGGTATTCATATCTCTCTGTTGCATTTTTTTAAAGATTTATTTATTTATGCATACAAGAACTGAGATACAGGCCAGAGCTGTGGGGAGATGAGAGGATTCACCAGAGACAGAGTGGGGAGCAGAACAGGCAGATTGACTGAAGTACACTGCTGAGGGGAGCAGTGGGTGAGACAGGAGAGGTCTGCTGTGCCATGTGGGTAGCTGCCTGGCTGGCCGGGATGGAACTCGTGCAGCAGTGGCTGTGAACAGCTTCATAGGCTCCCCTTGCACCACCAGGGAGGCCCTCTCTGTTCCATTTTTAAAACTTGCTTTTGACATTTCATACAATACCCTATAAAATGTTGAACATATAGTAGCCACTCAAAAGATAACTGAAATATCAAAACAGCCTCCTCACATTTATGAGAACTCATTTTTTTATTGGTTTCCCTTTTCTATCAGTCTTATCACCTAAACTACTCAGAAATTTTTAATAAATTATCCCCATATTTTAGGAATTATATACAGTGCCTAAATTCTTCAAGGCAATACTTCTAAAATAAATATGAGAAAGTTCATACCTAAAACCTAGGTGTTCATTTTCTACAATTTAATAACCGTTTCTCCTTGGTTAATCTAAGTAAATTTTAAAAAATTCTTAAATTTTTGTATTTAGAATTTTATGGAAAGCAATATAATTGTATTTATATGACTAAACTATAGAAGTTAGTAAGTTTGAATTTCACATTTATGAAAAATAAACCTGAGTACTTTTTCTGTTACAGGCACTCTTCCAAGGACTTTGTACATATTTACTCATTCATTTTTAAAACAATCCTATGAAGTAGTAGTATTCCCCTGTTATAAATAATAAAAACTAAAAGCAACTTATCCAAGGTTTCACAGCTGATATTAAGGATTCAAAAACCCAGCTCTTCATCACTGGGCTGACATACAATGAGGCAAACTTTGCTGATGCTATTGTCTCTCTGCTCAATTCCAGTATTAACATTTGGCACTCATCATTTTTAAGGAGAAAATGAAGGAAAAAAATAATGAGAATGAATAGTAAAACTTACCTTTTGAATGGCCTCTTCCATATCCAACTCAAATTGTTGGTTCTGTAATAATCTGAGGAATCTCTTGCGCTCAACTCGGTCATCATTTTCATTATGCACGATTTCACCCCTGACTTGCTTCTCTATCTTTTTTAAGGCATCAACATGCAATTTTTTGTTGTAGTGTTCATCTACTAATTTCTGGTGTCTTTCAGTGATACTCAGAACTCTCCTTCTGGAAGCCTATAATGCAAAAAGAGCATGCATATTTTAGTATTCCAAAATCTAATTTTAATAATATATTGATCCAAGACCAAGTAACAAATGATACAAAGATATAAAGCAAACAGTGATAAAGGGAATTTTACTTCCTTATTAAATTGAGAGAAATATGTACCATAAAAAAAAAAAACCATAAATGTGGTAGATTTAAAAAGTACTGAGATACCAATGAAGGTAGGTACCATTATTACTCCCATCTCATGCAACCAGCATAAAAAAATAAAAGCAACCGTACCCAAGATTCATCAGCTAATCAACAGCAGTACTTGGAGTCAAAGGCATGCATCTTATAAATATATTTTCTAATGTAATAGTATCTTAATGTCCCTATCCCACCTATTAGAATTATCATTAAATTCTAAGTACCATTTAATGCCATTCCATAACAAAAACTTCTGTGATTTTGACAACAGCAGGACTTGCAGTCAAAGGCATGAGAGGTACAGACTTAGCTCTTTACCACTGCACAGAAGTTCCTCTTCCCCTCATTACCCCAGCCCTTCCCCTGAGGCCGGGAAGCGCTGGCCTGAAGCGGTTTTCCCACTAAGATTCGGAATCGCACTGTCTATTGCTACTTACTCATTCGCTCTTTCCTGGACTTTTTATACGGTTTGCTCAGAGGTTCTTACTCTTTATCCAAATTTCCAAAAACACGCAAAACATGCTTACCGAGTAGATTCATACAGCGTGGGTGGGGGAAAGGCAAAAGACTGAAGACCCTTCAGTCCCAGCCCGCGAGGCCTCTAAAAGCAAACGCAAGCGCCCCACTTCATTTCAGCTTAGGCACTTCAAGTCCTTTTTAAGAAACAGGCTCTAAACTACAATTAAGTTAACACATAAGTAATTTTTGACCCAGGAGCGGCTCACCATTCTGGCAGACGAAAACCCTCCCGCAGCCACCACTTCTCAGCGGGAACCAGAGGCCGAGCTCGCAGAGTGTACGCGGTTTCCCGGCAACGGCAGCCTGGGCGCACCCCTGCACTGTGCGCGGCCCCCCCATTGGATGCAACAAGATCTAATCAGCATTGAGCTTCTTAGGGGGCTGTTGGAGCGGCTGCTCCCTATAGGCCCAAAGGAGACAGGCGGTAGGTTCAAATCTTAGGTCCTGAGGCAAGCCATTCGAGCGCAAGCTTTTCCTTAGCTGCTAAACTCCGGTGTGGGTGTGGCTGGGAATCAGGTCGAGGCCTGTGCAAACTGCAGAGACACACACAAGCTCCAGTCTAGTGCATGGGGCCAAAGTCACTTGCCAAGCACAGATTATCTGAGCCCTCAGTGCCTGTCCTGCTAGGGTGATGACTGCCCTGATTCTCGGTAGAGACAAGGTCACCATTCCCCTTGCTGGGTAACTGTGGGCACAGTGGGTAGTGTGTGCTCCCAGGACCCTTAGTCTCACCACCTACCCCTCACCCCCAACTCTTGATAAACTCTGAAAGTAAGCTTAGCCACATGGATTTCATTTTGCTTTGTAGTACCTGGTCCAGGTACCGATTACACAGTGGGTAGATGATGGCAGCAGGTTGGTCTGGTTAATTTTATTGGCAAGTTAGAAACTGAAGTCTTTTTTTTTTTTTCCTTTGGTTGGACCCTCCCCGGCGGCCGGGGATCGGATGGCGCTGCAGAGGCTGCGGGCAGCTTCACAGCGCGGCACTCAACCAACAGAAATGGATCAGAAAAATTAGTCAAACATTGATTTTAGAGATAACGTTCAGAAATCAAATCCAAACTAAAAAAAAAAAATAGTTAACATGAGAACTTGACTTAGTTTGTACTATTCTAACTTGAACCCATCTTGTACAGCAATATCTGTGCTTAAAGATTAGAAATTAAAGGGACTTTTCAGTTTTAGCTCCAACATAACAAGCTTGTAAATTATCTCTGAAGAAACTAAATTAACACATTTCAGGCTCATCTAGAACTGCGGTTAGAGGGCAATTCCCCACTCTAAAATCTGGAGAGAGAAGCGAATACAGGGAGTGACAGCCAAGAACTACTTACCCGGAGCAGAAGCCACTAAAGCCATAAACTAGGAAGGCTTAAATTATAATTTTGATGAATTGCTGAAGAGAGAGATTGGACTAGAGTGACTGAAACTACTGGGGACTGTAGTCTTAGAGAGGCCTCCAAATTTCCATGCGTTTTTCCTCCAGGAACACAGCCAGTTCTCCTGTGGCTCTGGCAGGCAGTTAAAAAAAAATTTGCGAAATATGTCCAGAGCCTTCATCATATTTAATGGAAGCATACTTTATGGGAAAAGATTTTGCCCTAGACTTATCCTACTTGGGGCAAGGAGATTTCTATGACTACAACCTCCCCAACCTTCCTGTCTCACCTAAATGGAGAGAGGGGAACTAAGATATACTTGTGAAGGACAGGGACACAGCCCTGTTAAGAGATTTCATCATAAAATTATTGAACATGCCTCCTCATCACACTTTATCACCACACCAACAGTGTCCAGTATAAGAACAGTTGATTACCACTGGAAGTGCTGTAAAACACACACCGTAACAAGGAATTCTTAGGGAAATTCAAAGACAACGGAAGACCAAAAAACACAAGAGGAATTTTTTTGAAGTCTCTCAAACCTACAACTATAGCAAATATTGTATTTTAATAAAAATATAATTTCAATCATCTCATGCTAAAGCCTGATTTACTTTACTTCCTATTGGCCAAGTTCAGTTTTCAACAAAAAAACTACAAGGTTAAAAGCAAGTTGTTAAAAGGCAAAGGAAAATACAGTCTGAAAGGCTGTGACCATCAGTGACCATCAGAGTAGATTCAGCTATGGCACAGAAACCATTAAATGGGAATTTTAAATAACTAAGGTTGGTATGCAGAGGGCTCTACACATGCAAGAGTGGATGGGTAGTGTAAGCATAGATGGAAAACCTAGAAAGATTCCAAAATCAAAAATCAAAACCAAAGAATGTCTTTGATAGACTAATCAGTGTACTGGGTACCACTGAAGAATCAGTAAGCTCAATTAGCTTTAAGCCCTCCTTGTGTTCCTGCATATCAGAGGAACACTACTCTCCCTAGCAGCAGACCTCTGTTCTGTGTTGTTTATTCTTGATAGCCAGGTGGTAGAAGGAAGGGGGTTCCGGGGAACTACTCTGGGGTTCACTCTCAATATGCGGCACGGGCCTGGCATAATAGGTCTCTGATATGTGTCAGCAGGTGGTTGTGGGAGGGTATGGGGAGGCTCATAAATTGGAAACAAATTTTTTTTTTCCTTAATGGTAATTATTCTGTTTTCTTCTTGCCTTTAAAGAAAGTTCGAACCCCTTAACTTGATCTGTAAATGCCTGTATGTCTACTTCTTTAAGCCTAAGCCAAAATGATTTCTTTGACCTCCTTTTTTCCAGAAGACCTTTGTATGTGTGGGCTTCTGTCCTTAATAAGAGTGTATATGATGACTGAAAGCCCACCAGCCATCTTACTGATGAGATAATAGATGCTCTGGAAGGCAGAGCAGAAAACTAGTTCTTTATGACCATAGAGATACCACAATAATAGTGGCCTACTAACCACCTGACCTCATGCTGTATGTTTGTTTCCCCTCATGCAGGTACATAGTTCTGTAATGCACTGAATGTGGACATATATGCATTCATTTGTCTGGGCACCTGCATGGTTACATGCAGAAGCAGTTTCTAAACATACTTTCCCCGATATCCTTTAAAAATCATCCTAAAGCAGGTGGGTAAATAATTACTTTTGATAACTAGATCAGCAGTTTTGGGCAGTACCCTCTGATTTTAGGAGGATAAAATTCTGTGAACTCAGGACATCCATACACACAAAAACAAACTTAGTGTAGATTGATGAGGTGCTAAATGGGTAGCGATAGCCCATAACAACTTGTACTATTACTACTATTGTACCTTTCAAAGAAAGTGGTAATTTCAGGGCCTCCCCGGTGGCGCAGCGGTTGAGCGCTGGGTTGCGAAGCTGCCTGCAGCCTCTGAAGCCGGTTCAATACCCGGCTGCTCCCCGGCCACCGGAGGAGGGTCCCACATGGCGTGCAGACCTCTCCTGCCGCCCGCTGCTCCCCTCAGCAGTGTCCTTCGGTCCTTCTGCCTGCTCTGCTCCCCGCTCTGGCTCTGGTGAATTCTCTCACCCTCCCGCGCTTCTGACTGTACCCAGTGCATGTATAAACCAAACAAACAAATAATAAATAAATAAATAAGACATGCCTCTAGAAAATTAAAAAAAAAAAAAATAAAGTGGTAATTTCAAAGGATTTTTGTGCCAAGCTTTCATTTAATGTTCACACTGAGCACTTGGAGCAGTTACTGAAGACATTGTTTTCCCCCATTTTGTTGTGAACAAACTGGGACACAGGGTACTTATTAAACAACCTGCCTCTTTTCCAACAATGCAGCCAAATGGAGATCAGAACTTCTTTTTGGAGAAGTTTGCCCAGAATAGGTGATTGTTACCAACAAGCCAGTGCTGATCAAGGCCTAGGCTGACTGCTGCTCACAAAGCTATGAGTTTCCATAATTATTTCTGCACTTTGACTTGCCTTCAAATATGGAATCTACTTCCTAACATCAGTAGTGAGGGAAGTTCCTATTTTGTTTTGTTATTTGTCAGAGAGTTACTGCCTCTCCTTCCCTAGCACCTGCCAGCTGAAGTGAAGGTCCCCAGGGCTTTCTTTCCACCAGTTGGTACCCCTAGTGGAAGGAAAGAATCCACCCTCTTCAATCCCTTCTACCCCTGACTCTTACTTCTATTTGTTTGTTTTTATTGAGGTAACATTGTTCTAGAACATTATATATGATTCAGAGATACAAGCTCAACATCTCTTTAGATGATGTCACCACACTACACCCACCACCACTGTCCTCCACCAAGTCCATTGGGCTCTCTCCACACTTTGCTTTCCAGCCTCCATCTCTCCTCTGATAATCTGAATTCTACAGATAGATTTCTAGGGCTTATTATTTGATTAGTTTTGATTGATTCTGTGTTGTTTCTTTATATTCCACATACAAGTGAAGCCATGTGATTGCCTTCCTTCTTCTGAAATTTCACTTAGCATTATCCCCTCCAGTCCTGTTCATGTTGTATATGGCAAGAGGTTTTTGTTTTTGCAGCTGAGTAGTATTCTATTATGTGTATATACCACATTTTAATCTACTCATTTGTCCTTTGATACCTGGGTTTTCATAACATGGCTATTGTAAATAATCCTGCAGTGAACCTAGGGCTGCATAAACATCCATTTGAGTTAGTATTTTTGCCTTCTTTAGGTAGCTACTCATAGTGAAATTACTGGATAGTATAGAAGATCTGTTTTTAATATTTTAAGAGAATGCTCCATAGCGTTTTTCATAAGGGCTGTATTCCTACCAACCATTGGATAAGGGTTTTCCCCACACTCTTTCTAGACTTTTTGATACAGGCCACTCTCACAGCTAGGAAAAGTTATCACATGTAGGGCCTCCCCGGTGGCACAGTGGTTGAGCGCTGGGTTGCGAAGCTGCCTGCGGCCTCTGCGGCGCCGGTTTGATCCCCGGCTGCTCCCCGGCCACCAGAGGAGGGTCCCACATGGCGCGCAGACCTCTCCTGCCGCCCGCTGCTCCCCTCAGCAGTGTACTTCAGTTCTTCTGCCTGCTCTGCTGCCTGCTCTGGCTCTGGTGAATTCTCTCACCCTCCCGCGCTTCTGACTGTACCCAGTGCATGTATAAACAAAACAAACAAACAAACAAATTAATTAATAAATAAAACATGCCTCTATTAAAAAAAAAAAAAGAAAAATTATCACATGTAGTTTTGATTTTAATTTCCCTGATTACAGGTGATGAGCAGATTTTCCATGAGCCTTATGGCCTATGTGTGTCTTCTCTGGAGAAATGTCTATTTTGCTCATCTGTCCGTTTTTTCATTGGGTTATTTGTTGCCATTTGTTCAGCTGTATGAGTTCTTTGTAGATCTTTGATATCAGCC